GGGGGGGGCCCCTGCGAGGATGTGGGCTTCGCTGATTGGTGGAGCGGCCGGCGGCTCGCAGCGCGGGAGCCGCGTTTAAAGGGGAAGCGACGGAAAAGCGGGGGGGAGGGCGGCTCGTTGCAGCGTCATGTCGCGCCACGTCGCGCCATGCCCTGTCATGCCATGCCGTGCCCAGTCCTGCTATGTCGTGCCATGTTGTCCCGTGCCACGCCATGCTGCACCGTGTTGCATGCCAGGCCATGTGGTGTGAGGCCGTGCCTTCCCCTGTCGCGCCATGCCGTGTTGCACCGCGTCACGACATGCTGTGCCCTGCTATGCAGCCTCACGCGTTGCTGCGCCGTGCTGTGCCGTGTGCTGTGCTGCACCGTGCCATGCTGCACTGTGCTGTGCTGCACCATGCCACGCTGTGCTGCACCGTGCCATGCTGTGCTGCACTGTGCCATGCCATGCTGCACTGTGCTGTGCTGCACCATGCCATGCTGTGCTGCACCGTGCCATGCTGTGCTGCACCATGCCATGCTCTGCTGCACCGCACCATGCCGTGCTGCACCATGCCGTTCTGTGCTGCACCGCGCCATGCCGTGCTGCGCTGCGCCGTGCCGTGCCATGCTGCACTGTGCTGTGCTGCACTGTGCCACGCTGTGCTGCACTGTGCTGTGCTGCACCATGCCACGCTGTGCTGCACTGTGCCACGCTGTGCTGCACCATGCCATGCTGTGCTGCACTGTGCCATGCCATGCTGCGCTGTGCTGTGCTGCGCAATGCCATGCCGTGCTGCACTGTGCCGTGCTGTGCTGTGCTGTGCTGTGCACTGCTGCACTGCACCATGCTGTGCTGTGCCATGGCATGCTGTGCTGCACTGTGCCATGCCATGTTGTACTGTGTCATGCCATGCCAGGTTGCGCTGTGCCATGCTGTGCTGCGCTATGTCATGCCATGTTGCGTTGTGTCATGCCATGCTGCACTGTGCCATGCCGTGCTGCGCTGCGCTGCACCATGCCGTGTTGCACTGCTCCATGCCGTGCCGTGCTGCGCTATGCCATGCCGTGCTCTGCTGTGCCATGCCGCGCCATGCTGCTCTGTGTCATGCCGTGCTGTGCTGTGCCATGCGGTGCCATGCTGCACTGTGTCACACCGTGCTGCGCTGTGTCACGCCGTTCCCTGCCAGCCCCAGCCTTGGGGAGCTCCCCGCGCTATTGCTCTCACCACCTCCGCACGCTGGCCCTTGGCTGGTGCCACCTCCTCCTCC